ATATAAACAATTTTTTTGAACATGTTGATTACCAATTGAAGGCGCCCAAAGCAAAATTTTGGTAACCGCTTTTAGTAAACTGGTGAAAGACATTTCTTCATTCAAAGTCAGTCATGCCAACCACAACCGGTGACTAGGTATAGAGTGCATCTGCTTTTAGGAGGTACCTAAAAAAACAATTAAGCAGAGACAAATATTTAGATGGGTAAAACACATTTCCCTTATAATTTATATCCCAACTGAAAGTTTAGGATTGTTTTTAATGTTGATTAAAATGAGAATCTACATATATCAAATTAAAAAACAATAACAGATTCTGGATTCATCATTTTTTTTTTTGGTGAGAGTGGGGAACAAATGTCACAACCTCTACAAAAGCGTTTTTATGCCAATTGTCATGAACCGCTTAGGTTTCTGTTGCATATTCTCATGCAAAATGTCTCAGACCATTATTGAAGCTCAACTAGCTTATTGTCCCTGTTCCACCTATTCCCTGTTCTCTGTCTCCTGTCACACATGTCACTGTCAAACATCAATATTGTATCCTGTCTAACGTCTCTGTTCCAAATAATGTATCTCCGTAATCCCTCGCTCTTGTAAAACCCATTTAACATCCGTTTCCTTTGCACCTCTGCCTTTGAACTCCCTTGCAAAACATTAATAATATCAGCCCATGTTATCCTGTGCATCTATCCCCGAAATTATCTGTAACTATGCCCGCCACCCCAAGGATATCCCAAACTCAATATGACTAATAATCTGTCTCTGTAAATCCGATCCCCGAACTCTTGTTTACCCGATCTGTCAATTAGTATAAATAGCAGCATATTTATTTATTCTTATTTCTGTATTCAAGATTTTATCTGTTTTTCCTGTTTTTTTTAATAAACTTCTCTCTACTCTCATCATTTTAATATATATATCAATACTAACAGATATATTATTTCCGTTTCTTCTGTCTTCAATTTAACAATAAGTTTTTTCTGCTCTTGCCCCACCCCGCTCCTGACCCCGACAAACATGTGTTATTATAATTTGGGAGTTCTGTGTAGAGTGTTTTGGATATGAGTTTAAAGTTTGATAGTGATCACGAAATCAGGTTTTGTGAAGGATGATTGGATTTTAATTTCTAGTGTTATAGATATGAAAGTAAGAGGTAATTCAAAGAAAATAAAAGTATAATTGATCTTTTTTCAATGAAGAAGGAAAGTAAAGTTATTATTACATGACTGTTTGAAGCACATATGTTTCTTTTAGGTAGATGTTTACAATGCTGGATCTTAGATAATACGAAGTGTCAGTGTCGTGATGGGATCGCTATCAGTGTTGTAATGGGAGCTCTTGTTAATCAGTGTCGTGATGGGAACGCTATCAGTGTTGTAATGGGAGCTCTTGTTAATCAGTGTCGTGATGGGAACACTTGTTAATCAGTGTCGTGATGGAACGCTTGTTAATCAGTGCGGTGATGGGAACGCTTGTTAATCAGTGTCGTGATGGAACGCTTGTTAAACAGTGCGGTGACGGGAACGCTTGTTAATCAGTGTGGTGATGGGAACGCTTGTAAATCAGTGCCTTGATGGGAACGCTTGTTAGTCAAATTGGGTCATCCTTTTATATAAGCGATGTCTTTTTTTCGTTTTTTTTTTCATTACCTTTTTGGCAATACACACACACACACACACACAATTACTATGGATCGCGAATACAATGACCGCCTAAACGAACTCCATGCAATTATGACCGCTTTCTGTTGGGGTAAAGCCGGATAGGGATGTGGGGGGGGGGGGAAAGGGGGTGTGTGACTCGATAAGAAGGGTGTGTGAGTTACTGACAATCTGTTTTTTGGGGGTGGCTGTAGGTTATACCCCACAGGCTCCTACTGCTATTACCGGCGTGTTAACCGATAATGTCAGGAATTAGCCGGATGTTACTAGGTACGAGGACAGGTCTCTTTATACTTACAAGGCAAGGTTAGGTACTAGGTAGGACTATAAGGTTTTGCGGGAAGATAGGCAAGAAAAGGTAGTAAAGCTAAGTTTATATAATAATAATAAGTTATACAAGATATCAGATAAAGATCTGTACTTGTCTAAATAATCTAAGGTATTTATAATAAAAGGAAGATAGTCTTAAGGACTATCTTCTTAACGTGAAGGGTCTGGAGTTAAGGCCTTGGGGAAGGTCTTGAGGCGAGGTACTGTGGCGGGATCATGGGACGAGGGTGGTGGCGGATGTTGGTTTGGTCTTGAGGCGTGGTCCCATGGTGATGACTCGTGATCGGTCTCATGGTGTTGTCTGATGGTTTGGTCACAGGAGCTGTCAAATATGATCTGCATATACATGCAGATCTATGCGGGGGTGTATGTATGCGCGTATGCATTAAGGTATTGACCACGTGGTTCATGACAGATAATGACTATTTTTTTTTCTGGATTACAGCCATTGCCCGTAAATCAAGGTTTCCTCTGTATGAGCTATAACCGATTACGAGCTCAATTAATCTACATACCTCTGCCTATGCGATTTGGTAAGAATGACAGCCAAAAAAAAACATAAGACTCACAGGAAAGTTGATTTAGTAGAGGTGTTAGAGGATGACGAACTTTTGGGGACTCCCCCTGCACCTGCAGCTCCTCCTGTAGCGGCAGCTCCTCCTGTAGCGGCAGCTCCTCCTGTAGCGGCAGCTCCTCCTGTAGCGGCAGCTCCTCCTGTAGCGGCAGCTCCTCTGTGGTCGTGGTTCCTCCTGTCGAGGCTCCTCCTGTCGTCGTGGTTCCTCCTGTCGAAGCTCCTCCTGTCGTCGTGGTTCCTCCTATCGAGGCTCCTCCTGTCGTCGTGGTTCCTCCTGTCGAGGCTCCTCCTGTCGTCGTGGTTCCTCCTGTTGAGGCTCCTCCTGTCGAGGCTCCTCCCGTGGTCCTGCCTGTGGTTTTGCCCGTCGTGGCTGCTCCTGTGGAGGCGGCCATTCGTGCTCCCCTTGTTGGTGAGGTACCTCGTGTTCCTTTGCCCCCTCTCCTCGCACCCCCTAACTACTTTGCACGTCAGTACGAAGATAAGTTTGTCACCATGGTAATGGTATATGGAAAAAAAAAGTAACATGCATCTCATGTCCGTCTCTCTACCGCTAGTCGCAAACCGATATCGTCGTTACCCCGGTGCTCTTGCTCAGGCCGTTGCCAACACCACAGAGGCCATGGGTATGCCGATGACCCAGGTAGCAAGAAGGCAATTAGACCTCCATTCCGTGGTCAGTGAATATATATTTTTGGAAGGTAATACGTTGGCATCCCAGGTGCGCAACCTTCTGCTTGCTTTAATCCTGTACATGACGAATGACAACGTGCGCAACGTACGCCAGCTTGCTCGTAAGTCGTTTGTGTCAAAGATGTTTTTAAAATCAATCCCAGCTCTAACGTATCCTTTACCATGTGTAGTGTTGCACTCCAACAACCCACTCGGGTGGAATTGGAAGCTGTCCGTCGGGCTTTGAAACTTGGGGCATTTCTTCGTCCTTTGGCCGAGGAGGCTGGCATGACCGCGTTGTTGTTGGTAGACTTGTTGCCACCGGCAAAATTAAGTAGAGCCCCTGCGGCTCTGTTAGCAGAGTATGGAGCATACTTGGACACGCTGAACTTAGCACAGTTGTTTAGAGAGGCAAGGTTGCCTGTCGTGCCTGCCTTTGGGGCACAGGAACTGTGGGCGTACTACGTACGATTTTTTTAAATTTTTTTTTAAAAATAAAGCTTTTTTTTTTCCTTATGAAACAACCTGACAATGGGTGAGAGAGTGAGTGCGTGAGTGAGTGAGAATGCGTGAGAATGAGAGAGTGAGAGAGTGAGAATGTGAGAGCGAGAGAGTGGGAATGTGAGAGCGTGACATTGAGAGTGAGAATATGAGAGAGTGACATTGAGAGAGTGAGAGAGTAAGTGAGTGACAATGCGTGACAGCATGACAATGCAAGAGAGAGTGGTGGTGGACGAGTGACAATGTGTGAGAGCGTGACCAATGCGTGCGTGGTGGACGAGTGACAATGTGTGAGAGTGTGACAAATGCGTCCGTCAGTGCCATTGCAAAAGATCTTGACATCAGAAAGATCTTCGAATATGTTTACCAAGAAAGATCTTAGGACACTTTGACAGGACTTACGTTTGTCCCTTAGCGACAACTAGGTGCACTACATGCACTCGTACATGACTAGGAACACTACATGGTATGGTTAGGAGAGTGTGCGTGCAAAGGGGGGGAGGGAACGCCCCCCGCCACGGTTATTCATTAGTAACAAATATGTCAGTCGGAGTAATCTGAGTATTAAATGTCCTGCCCGCGATCCTATGACTTTCATAGGACGGCCAATCAAATTTCAAGCTGATTTCTATGAATCTCATAGGAGTTGGGTCCTATAATTTTCATAGGACTGAGATTCCTATGAAATTCATAGGAATGCTTTTCAAAACCGATTCCTATGACTTTCATTGGACTGCGGGAGGAGGGCAGGATTTCAATGACAGACAATCATCGGCCATAGTGTATGGCCGTATGCTTGTAGATGGGGGTATGCTGTCCAATAAAAATGCAGAAAAGAGTGTAAGGGAGTTTGAATAGTGTAAGGGAGTTTAAAAGAAAACGGGCTGCTTTGATAGGCTAAATACAGCTTCTAATATGTAGGCCAATAAGAGGGCCATGAAACAAGTGTAAGATAGCCAATAAGAGAACAAAAAAGAGTGTAATGGAGTTCAAAAGATACATTTTCTAGTTTTCACGCATTAATAATACGGATGAAATACCATCACCTTTTTTAATAAGCTTGAGTATTCAAGTTACTAACGGTTCCATAAAAAATATGAGAGAGCAATGGTTGGAGATAATAGTGCTATGTATTAGTGCAAAAACACCAGTCACATGTAAAGCTGTCAAAAAAGAAAAAAGAAAAAAAGAAAAAAAGAAAGAAAAAAAATTCAGTAACGTTCTTTTGATTGATCTAGTTTCATCTTACCTCAAACTAACCGATGGGAAAGTTTAATTGCACTAAACCACGAGTAACAAAAGACAGAGTACGTCCTAATCGTGGACGTCCTTTCGGTACAACCAATGCAACTCTTATTCGAAATCATAGTGCGAACCAGTCTAGAATGACGGCCTTTTTGACTAACCAAAGTAATACTACTGCGTCTACAGACAACATTACCTCTGTGTCAAACACGAATCCCGAAGATTTTATTGAAACAAACGTTATTCCTGAGAATACAACGGCTACAGATAAAGAAGTAAGAAATGACCCTTCTTTACGATCCACATACATTCTAAAACTCTAACGCCCATTTAAGATAATTCCATTATTTTTATCTTCTAGTAATAATAATACCGGCCGCCAAAACACAACTTCAACCGAGTTAAGCGAAAGCGATTATGTAGAAATAAGAGAGATATCAAACGATCAGGAACAATCCTCTTCAAATGATTTCCAAAACGCAACAACTGATGTTTTCGGAGAAGAATAGTTGTTGGAAGAACTTGACGAAGATATGATGCAGAAGATTGATAGAGATGCTGGATTGGTACAAGAGAACAGTGTTATCGATAAATTTTTAAAGAGTATTCAAGATAGAATAAAAGAGGACAATAAGAAGGACCCACCTCGATTTCCAAAGCCACCAAAAGAATACCAAAATGGAACTTTTTTGGTACAAAGGAAGAATCCTGTCTTTGCCCTAAAAGATCAGTTAGAGTTAACACCAAATGTCTTATACCAGCCAAGAGTCTTTTTGTGGTTTCCTCACCACCTTGTTTCAAATTTAAAATGCCCAAAATGTAGTACACCTACCACGTTTTTTGTTAAAGAATGGAATACATGTCCTAGAGCAAGAAGAATTACTGATTTAGATGAGTAAGTATTTAGCTATGTCATTTTTAGCGATTATCTTTGTAGACAACTTACATTAAATTTTATTAAGCTCTTTCTACCTGATGACTGTAAGATACAGATGCACCAACGACAAAACACCCCACTCTTTCAACGGATATGATAAGGGTTTAGTGCAACAGTTACCTAGAATTTATGCCAAAGAATTTCCAGCCATTTTGACCGCATCTTCTGGAATATCTACTAAGCTTGCAAAACTTATGCGACCTTTATTTCAAAGCGGTGTTGGGCCACAGCGACTGAGTAAAATATTACGAGTTATGCATACTGAACATTTCGATGAGCTTCAATTCCAGTATTACAACAAAATGGTTGAAAAATTACAAAATCCCACCATGATTGACTGCCTAAGAAAAAAAAGAGATGGTGGCAGTGTGTCGTATGATGAGTTTTCTTCATTTGGTGATAAGCAAAAGTATGCAGGATATATTCCTTGCGCTAACTATCTTAGTCATGTTTATTCGTCGCTTATTGAAGAATTTGTCCCGTTCATGGACCAGTTGACTTCAATGACTGATGGAATTATATTAAAGGGAGATCACTCTTTTAAAATAATTAAGCACATGGGCAAAACAAACGGTACATCTGTGTTTTCTTCTCTTTACACTGTTATGAACGAATATGAGGAAATACGAATGCAAGTGTGGCTCACACAAAATCTCTTAAGGAACTATCCGGAAGTTTTGGGTCTATGATGGAAAGTTATCGACGTTATGGATTTGATATGCCACAGGTGTTTTATACTGACAACGTAGCTGCAGACAAAAATACACTCGAGGCTTATATTCCTTCTCTTTCAGACAATGTACGAGCAATTGTGATTGACAAATCTACAGGCGATGCAAAGTTATCAAACAAAGATCAGTTTCCTCCAGCAGTATTGCCTGAAAGTATCGCGATCGAAATAAGAGATACAGCGCAAGGGATAGATAAATCATGTCAGAAAATTTTAGATACTATTGATGTTGACGATAACAGCAGCGAGATTTTTGTTGGATTTGACTGTGAATGGGTCGCTCCCAATTTTAGAACAACCCGTGCCCCAACAAGCCATGTTGCTTTAGTTCAAATTTATCATGAGGAATCAAATACTATCTTCCTTTTCCGAATCTTCAGCTTTGATCGAAATACATTTCCTGGAAACCTCAAAGAAATCATAGCTTCCAAAAGAATAAGAAAAATTGGAAAAAATGTTGGTTGAGATTTGACAAGATTGAAACGATATGTTTCTGAGACCAATGGCGAGCTAGAGCTTGGTACTTACTGCTTCAATCGTAATGCTATTAGCAGTAGTAGAAAATCACTGAGTGACATATGTAATGTTATTCTTAAAATTCATCTTCCAAAAAGCAATGATGTTAGATAAAGTAATTGGGAAGCTCTCGAGTTAAGTGATCAGCAAAAACGATACGCCGCTTTGGATGCATATGTAGCGATTGCCGTTTACAATTCTGTAAAAGGAATGCAACTGGTGAATGAGTATGTTACAAAAAATACTCCAGTTGGTACGTTTGTTGGTGTATTCCCCGAAGTGCATCGAAAACAGTGACAGCGGCAGCTTTTGGCTACATTGCTGACTCTAATGATCCTGAAAGTCATGATTTTTCTTTACAGAATTCTATTTTTACTCCCCTGGAAAAAACTGATATGGCTCTCATCAAGTTCGTGAAAGTTAAACGTCCTGGATTAATTTGGGATAAATACAAAGCAGCGAATAGTGGATGTGAAGACAGAAGTGTTACTTTGGAGATGTTCGGAGACGTGCCCTTTCTTGCATATGTGGAATACAAATGCCTGCGTACCGCCTCTGAATCTATAAATCTCAGGGATATACATTCGGAGACTCTTACCGAGTCAACCATTCCTGCAAATATCTCTTTCTCGTCTAGTAACGCGCCTGTTCGACTTGATGAACATAGAAGTACTTCCGAAAAAGCAACGGTTCCTAGTAGAGTATTAAAGGATGCTTTTCATTTGATCGAACAGATACCCATATCTCTAAGACATGGTATGGTAAAGGATTTCAAACGCAGGTTTAGAGATTGTCTTTTTGCTGTAAATGAAGAAGACAAAAAGAAAGTAGAAGAATATCTGATCAGCATTGGTTCAGATTGGGCAACTCTTTTGGTTAAAAATCCAGATTTCATATGGGAGCGGATTAGAAGAAGTATACCGCCGCCAAATAAGCTCGCAAACCTTGTTCAAGATTGCTTTGATAAATATGCTAATCTTGTATGTATAAAAACGGGAAATCCTCTATTTGATAAAGAGTCTATATCAGCATCAAAAAGAGTGATGGATCAGATTAAGGCTGGATATGTGTCTGATATTGTTGATGGCCCGCCTTTGTACACGGAGAAAAGTTTCGATAAAAATGGTTTAATGAGGTATGCTTGTGGTAGAGGTACTTCATCTGGGGAAGGATCCTGTCATTTCAATATTATCAGAAAATTTTCGTCTTTTAATGCCGGGCCAAGACTCACTAATATGGCTCTTTATGATTACCGTCTGTTTCACAACATTAATGTAAGTTTAAATGCAATTTGTTTAATTCAAGCTATTATTAACAATGTGCCATTTCATAGATGGGCTCTAAAAACCGCTACGGTATTATTCACAAAAGTCATTATAGCCCTTGGTTATCCCAGTCTATTGATGCTCTGCGTTCTAAAGTTGGCCATCCAATGCGAACTGATTCCTATTTTGGAAGTAGTATGTTAGAAAGCGCCTACTTATATGGTCATACAAATGAAAAATTTGGCATATCACCAATTCCTTCTCATATCAAAAATGACCACCTGATGCTTCCCTATGACCCCAATACGTATTTTCAGTCTGGTCTACCTGAAAATAACACAAAAATCAAGTCAGTCAATAACAAAAATCCATCAAAACGCTTTTTAGAAGAAAAAAAAGAGAATCACTTGAATAGATTCGCCAAAACAAGAATCACTGAACAAAGAATTTTTGAACTTAGCGCTATACCTATAGTGAAACTTCCCAACATGTACCATGCATCCCATCAGTTTATTTATCGATATCTGAGCAAATGTCAAGGAACCAAATATGCAGTAACTGCGGTACATACTCCCCAAGAAAAATCATTATTTGATCTTATGTTGGATGATTCCAATGAAAACTCAAAATACGCATACCTTAAATCTGCCAATGGCATTGTGAACTTTGGATTAATGGCAGCCGCTTGGTCCAAGATTTGCTCCTCTACCAACTTCATATACTACAAAACGCCTGAGCATCTTTGCTCTTATAATAATATACTTGAAGATAGAAGAAAGTACCGTGATACAGTAGCGCACAACATAGTAGCATCAAGATCAATTCGTTTAGCTGCTCAATCTAAACGAAGATACAATACATCTACAGCCGCCAAAAAGTACAGAAGACTTGAACCTACTATTAACACACTTAACAGAACAATCACTCCAAGTAGTGATTGCTTAGAACAAACGACTTCCACAACTATCAACATTGCACCTAGGCCACCTACCCTTATTGATATTCCAAACGAAGTTCATCCATCTAATATTTTTGAAATGGGAAATAATACTACTATGCAGATAATCGATGTGGAGTCTAACCATGCCAGTATAAACTCAAGCAACAATGTTACAGAATTAGCCTGTAGCAATAACCCTATCAAGAAAAGTATAAAGCGAGCTCCTCGAAAATGCCAATTGTGCCAAAACACTTCTCCCACTTGTAAAGGTAGCTCGAAGTCACTATACTGTAAATTTAAATGTCGTATCTGTGCAAATTCTGACTGCCCCGCAAGATTTAAAAATACAAAAGAATGTCTTAGAAAGTAAACAACATTATTACAACATCAAAAAAAAAATCTCACAAAGTATTCAATACAATATTCGCCTTTAAAGAATACACAAATAAACAGAAAACCTTTCTTTTTCTCATTTTTATTATTTACACACAAGCCAAATCAAATTAAAGCATAAAATTCCATATCTTTAAGCTTAGAATGCTATCGATTCTCGTTTTCAGCGGGCCCTTCGGGCCCGCTTTGTATTTTTCAAAAATTAATTACGTAATTTTTGAAAAATTAATTAAAATTTTTGCGATACCCCCAGACGTGGTTATACGGCCTAGTGTATAGCGTATTTTTTTTATGGAACCCAACGCGTAAAGTAGGAACATATTAAAGTACGTTGGCAGCTTTTAAGTACCTCGTTCGCCATCATGTTTTATGTATTTTTGGCATGAAAAAAAAAAAGCGTACACACACACAAAGAAAGAAAAAAAGACTTGGGATAATTTCTCGCTCTTTTTTTTTTTTTTTTTTTCTTTTCCTTTTTTCTTTATTCTGTGTTTTTTTCTTTAATGTCCAACCCATTTACCGTGGTTGAAAGAGATCGTATTGAGGCGTTCCACGCCTTTTGCATGCAAAGACCAGACAGCCACTGTGCTGTCTGTTGTGAGATGTTGTACCCGGAGGAGGTGTACTTGAACTACGCCCAAGTGAGAGAAGGCGATAGGTGGCCTTGTGAAAATGACAACATACCACCGATACGACGACGACGACCACGACGACCCTTAAGAGAGGATGATGACGAAGAAGAAGAAGACGACGACGACGACAACAACAACAACAACAACAACAACAACAACAACAACAACAACAACAACAACAACAACAACAACGAAGACGAAGAAGAAGAAGGGATTGTGGTTTGCAAAAAACATCGGACCACCGAACCAGGAGAGACGACGACGATGATACCCTATGCAGGAGATATACCCCCCCTCGGTGATGGAACTTAATTATCGGGAACGTTCCATGCTTTCGCCTGTCAAATTGATGACACAGATGAACCGCAAGCGGACGATAGTGAATGGCAGAATAGGCCATTACGAGGTGAAAGGATCTATTTACCGGAATCACAGCTATGAATTTGCCAATGTGGTATTTGGAGGCATGCTTGGATTAAAGTTTTGACGCGGTGTACCCGATCACGTCGACAAGGAGAAGGTGCAAAGTGCCTATAGTGATTTGTGTGCAACCCACCCGTTGTTAGCGCAGTACGGACACACCACGACAACGGAGGATGTGGAAAATATTGTGGAATATCATATCCGTGAGAACAACCAGCATGTGCGAGTGAATGATCATTGGCGTGATCAAATCTTAATGCCCAGTGAAGGCGTGAATCCCAATGCGGCCACGGTGCCACTAAACAACTTGATTATGGGTAAGAGAGAACGAAAAAAAAAATCAAAAATACAGTGAGTACTTAACCGGTGTGTGTTCAGGTCATGATGTGAATGAGAATGTGATTCGCTTGGGTCATCCTGCTTTGATGGCGCTGTTATTTCCCTGGTTATTTCCCCAATGTAGAGGTCATTATTCGATGGTGGGACGAAATGAGGATGTGACCGATGGACAAGGCCATGTGATGGAAGAACAACACGGAGGGGTAGCTATCGACAGCCGTTTTTATACCTTAGGTCAATATTGCAAGACCCAACAGCTCAAGGCGGATCGTCGGTTTGCGAGAGACCCCAATTTTCTTTTTTGGGCGATGGACATCATTGAAAAACAGAATATCCATTCTGCTAATCGCCATACGGTGCGAACAAGCCGAAGAGCTACACGGCACCAAGATGTGATGGATGGTGATAGCAATTTCCCTGATAATCGAGTGACGAGTGTACCCCATATGATTCGCTCATCCTATTCCTATCATCGACGGCATTACCTCAATTTGAAAGATATGTGTGAACAATTGAGTCGACCCCAGTTATTCTTAACCTTTAGTTGTGATGACCTGTCACCCCAATTCAAGCATGCTACCGGATCAGAGGAGCGATAGACATATCCTGTTATTTTTGCCGGCCAATACCGACTCCAATGGGCCCGCTTTTTTCCTACTACATCATGAAGCGCTGAGGACCCAGTATTGGAGGTATTCGTGATTGGAGTTATGTACTTGAAATTCAAGGTAAAAAAAAAAAAAAAAAAAAAAAAAAAAAAAAAAAAAAAAAAAAAAAAAAAAAAAAAAAGTTAAACCCCAAGGTGAAACTAACCAACCCACCCCCTCTCCATATTTAGATAGAGGAAGCCCCCTCATGCATGTGGTACTTTGGACTCATCGTATGGCCCAAGAACTCTTGATGGATGAAAATATTGTCTATCCCCGCTTACCACCCATTGACGATCCTTTCTATCCGTTGGTAAGGCGTCTTCAAATCCATCGGAGCAATATCCGATATTGCCAGGACAGCAATCACATGAGTCCATGCCGATTTCATTACCCCAAGGAACCGGTGGAGAAGGCCTACACGGAAAACGATAAATGTCATTACCGTCGCACCGAGGCGGATGTGTATGTCAATCCTTACAGTCCCTTTGTGTTCGCCATGTTTGAAGGCAATAAAGATATCCATATCAATCTGGGCCAAGCTTCCATGTACTATTTGGCAAAATACCTCACCAAAACCGACCGCGATTTGGAATTTAGCCTTGAAGAAGGATGAGGCGGACGTCGCCGACAAGACAAAATGACGGCTTTTGAACATACAACATCGCGTGTGGTAGGTGCAATAGAAGCCGTGTATGACGTACTGGGATTTCAAAAACATCGTTCCTCGCGTCAAGTCGAGTTTATTCCCACGAATTTACCCCATCAAAACCAAGGACAATTGCGATCCGACTTACGGGCTTTGGATGAAGACGAGACCTGTATTTACATCACCAGTATCTTGGAAAAATATGAGGTCCGCGAAGGCGGTGGCCGCTTGACATTACCTCAGTTTGTTTGCTTTTATTACGAGGCGTTCGGTAGCGTTCAAAAACGACGTTGGCTAGCCATGACAAAGACAATGCAGACTGTCGCATACCACGATGTGCCCTTATCAAAGGCCATCAAATCAAAGGACAGGGTATTTCGACTCATCCTCAAGGACACTCCCCGCGTATGGCGTATCTATTATGCAAAGGCATGTCAGGATAGCGAAGGATATTATTAACCACAAGTGCTGACCCGTACTCCTGTATTGGGAACGACGTTTGAAGCTGCTAAAACGTAAACGATTAACAACTACCAGTGATGCTAGAAGTGAAGGTGATGGTAATAACAACAACAACAACACCAGTAGTGGTACCTGAAAAGAGTATTTTATCAGCCTCGTGGAAGGATGAGAGATCGAGATGACAGAAGGCGGTGAAGTACCGCAGACGATGACAGGCGAGCGTATCCGTGAGTATGAAGTCTTGTACAATACCCCCTTGACCCCATAGCCGGACATCATCTTTCGGCAAATTGTGCATCATCCCACCGCGACTTACCACTTTGTGATTGGAGCTGCCGAAACCGGTAAATCGTACTTGCTTGCAAAATTGCATACCTACTACCGTCAACACGGTTATCATGTGGAACGATTATCACCCACGGGCGTTGCCGCTTACAACATTTACGGCGAAACCATCCATCGATTTATGGGTATAACAAATGAGCGTAACGAAGTGAACAAGCTCAAGCTCAATGACCATGTCAAGCTGTACCGAAAGTCGGTGTTCTGTGGTATTTGACAAAATATTACATAGATCAGAAATTCGAGAGATAAAGCATTGAATTAAGAATAAAAATAAAGAAATTTGACGAAGTAAAATTATCAAACTGCAAAAATAAACTAAAGTCTTTATTATACAATAAATTGGGTTCTTTATATACATATTCAGGACTGGCTGAATATCAATCATTAAAGTGAAACCTGTCAAATATACAATAGGCGTATTGTCAATTAAAGATCAAGCATCTCATGGTACCTTCGAGAATCTTGTTATTGACGAGCGATCATATCATTGGATTGTATTATCTGGAATAAATGTATGACTATTGTTTTCTATATGTTGATGAGTAATCAATGCGTAGTAAATAGAGTGTAATAGCATGTATTTGATTTAAAGAGTAATGCAATAATGATTCATAGAAAGGTCATCAAATAAGAAAGAAAGAATTGATGATAGAGTTATATCTGTATATAAGCTCGATCACAACAACGGCATAATGTGCAAGGTTGCAAAGAACCTTCTTTCTAGAACATCATGGAATGCTTTAGCCTCTGCCACTCTCCCTACCATAAACATGTTTGCCATAAAATAAATGTAGGCATGTCGAATGAGGACATTACGTATGGTTCCAAAAGAAACCCCATTCACATACGTATCGACAACGTCAACAATACGTAATGTGGGTACCGGGAACACGAAACGAAAGTAACTACGACGTGTGTCCACGGTCGAATGGTGGAGGGTCACTCTTGGTTAATTTGCACTGTTTATGGTAGCCTTGTTGAAGATGCTTGACGTGTTTTCGAAATCACGCAAAACTACACGATCCACCTCCATATAGTTTTTAGACGTTTTTAGTACTGCCCAAATGTCTCTGACATAATACTTTACCACTCGTGTTGCCAGATCCTCGTCCAGAGCTTCGGCATTGAAGAACATGTCAACACGTTCCACAAGCTCGTTCGTCATGTTTTGGTATTAATCAGGTTCATATCGCAGACCGGATGAAATTTCAGGAAGAGTTTAACGACGAGGAGTGGGAGTAGGAGAAGCAGGACGAGTAGGTGGAGGAGGAGTAGCAGTGGCAGTAGGAGCAGGTGTAGGTGTAGGTGGAGGAGGAGTAGCAGTGGCAGTAGGAGCAGGTGTAGGTGTAGGTGTAGGAGTGGTGGGTGGAGCGGGAGTGGAAGATCTTGATACTCGACGAGGAGTAGCAGAGCCAGGAGCAAAGGTGGGTCGAGGAATACTCGTAGCACGGGGAGTAGGTGTACGAGAAGTAGGAATAGCAGGAGAGGATCTTGGTTGAGCAGTAGGTGTTGTTTGTCTTTCATTTGATGATGATTCGAGCTCATATATGTCATCCTCCACAGCCGTGTCAGAAAGTGATTGTGAATCAGCTTCGTCATCGGCTTCAGGTGATTGTTGTTCGAGTTCAGGTTCATCTGGTGCTACGGGAGATGGTGGGGCGGCGGTGGTGGTAAGAGGTGGAGTTGATGGGGCAGTGGTGGTAGTGGTAGGAGGGGGAGGTGGTAGTGCTGGTGTAGCTGAAGAAGTGGGTTGTTGTTGAGTACGAAGAGAATTATAATCAACCGCTTCAGCGGTGAGATGTCTTGTCTAAGTGGTTACGTTGGTGGAGCAATTGTAATACACCTCATGGTTGTGCTCAACAGACCAAGTAACCTCCCAGTGAGGTGGTAAACCTCGTTCCAACAAATTTATCACGTCACGAATGGTGACTCCTCCATTACCACCAGGAGATGTTGGCTCCTCTGAACCCCTCGTACGACTTGTTTGGAGGAATGCCTGAATGGCAGAGCCAGCAAACACAACAGCGTAAAAAGCTTCGTAACATAAGGCATCAGTGTGTTCAAAATTCTCTTGCAACAACGCAAGGTTGTTACAAACCACCTGCTCGTTAGTTGATTGACGAAATTCGCCGATATTTGCTATTCAATGATTGTGTCAACATGATAAAATCATTCAATGTCTTTATATTTTTTTACTTACCAAGGATGGTTCTAACGATATTTCTGGGAATGATGATATCAGGGAATTGAGATTGGAGAGAAACTAATTTTTTCAAAGAAGATTTAACGTTAGTTTTTTTTTGATGTTTTGAATGTATAGTACACTATCTTACTATCGTAAGTAGACATGATTATGGTTTTAGTTGGTTTTAGTTGGTTGTTGTTGGTTTTTGTTGGGTTTTTTTTTAAAGAAAAGGGAAATAACTATCAGGTTCAAAGATGAATAGGACAGAATGGACCGTGTGAGTATTTTTTCCTTGCAAACGAGTTTTATCAAGTCAAAACATTTAACAATGAGTCAAGATTTCGTCCTGTTGTGGGGCAATTTACTTGACAATGAGTCAAAGCATGAATTACAGTAATAACAAAATAAATTTCCTTTTTTATCAGTACTAGGTGAAATGCATGAATCGTCCATTACGACTTTTACTACGGCTACATAATTCTATATTTGGGATCGTATGTTATTCATTATAGACAGCCAATAAATGATCACCTATTATGTTCTATTGTCAATTACACTTGAAAAACAAGTTTGCATCTTTTACAGTAACCGTTGCATGATCTGATAAATAAGTATCTCGTAATACTAAAGATTTATTACAGTACTCATGCTCCCGATCCACTGACATGGGACAATCTTAACTGGAAACAATTCTAAAAAGTAGTATTCATTTAACCCAAGGCGTAAAACAAAGTATAGATCTATTCCAAAACCAGAAAGGTTGACTCATCATTAAAACTCGGGAGAGTTGTGCAATATAAAAAGGATTCATTATTATATAGCAGCAACATTCTTTTTAGTCTATTTTTACCTCTTATAAAGAAATAGTTGTATCTGTGTATTTCTTAAGTGTATTATTTTTGTCAAATACCAAATATACATTGACTATTAAAATGATGTCGTATGATTACAGAAATCATTATACAGGGAAAAAAAGGGGTTGGGGGCGAAAGACTACATACGTGATATTGTGTACAATCAGGGATACTCCAACTTAAAAAGTTGATTGTCTGTGCAAATCCTCCAATAAAGAAATTCTCGATAAAGACCCAAATATAGCAAAAGACCGCTTCCCCAACCCTGCTGTACACGTCTTTAAATTACTCCTTACGCAATTGCAAAATACATGTGCGAGACACTTTGACTGTTGGATTTGGGGTTGGTAATGGTAATAGAGTTGGGGAGGTGTCACTCTTTACAAGTTGCTTTCATTTATTTATTTTTTACTAGCGTTCATGACTTGTTTCAGTGTTGTTAATAGAGAATGGGTGTGTCATGACTAACGAGTCTTTTGCAAGAGTGCCACTACTTTATGACGGTTGTTGACTTGATTCTACTTTTCATTTTTTTATACAATGTCAATGTGAAGGTGTCTTTGAACAGGAAAAAAAAAAGATAATAATAAAGTGGTGTAACCACAAAAAAAAAACCAGTTCCCCTGATATATTTAAAAAAAGGCAATCGATGTGTAACAAAAAAAAAGCACACCAAGATCGACGCTGTGGACTTGATGTTGGAGAAAAAAAACCTGTTTATACTTTCTCCTGAACGTATCGTTAAGATAAATAATGCAAAATGCCTATATTGGAAACTAATGTGATTCATTGTTTTACAATCGGTATAAAAGCAATGGAATTGGATTACCTTTATTCCGTTCTTTATCATTATCCTTTAATAAATCCTATTTCCTTTTAAAAAAAACTCAATTCACTAAAATGCCATTCAACAGTGGTAAGACCATTTTTTTTCATTGGAAAGAATGAAATATGTATCCTAATTTCATTCCTCTTTTTTTTCCCCGTAGCTATTCCTACCAACTCTTCTTCCAGCAAGAAAGCTCATGCCGGATAATCAACCAAAAAGGTCAAGTCAACCACGACCAAGAAGGTCATGTTTGAAAAGCCTGAATTCAAGGTTGACAACATGCCCTCCACCTCCATGTCCAATACGCCCACCAACATACCTATGCCAAGAACATCACCTATGCCAACAAACTTACCTATGCCACCTATGCCCCATGCCACCACGATGTCTGTCCTTACTGATGATGATGACGCTATGGATATATGCGAAGAGCATTCTATGAAAATAACTATGGCTATGCCAGAGTCACCAGCTGCCAAAAGACAAACGCCAACCATGACAACACCACCTGCCGATATTGTTTTCGGAAAGCCTTTGTATCAAAGCCTTAATCAAGTCATGGTAGCTCGTTTGGATGCTTTGCGTGCTGTGTTTCCTTTGAACGAACAAGCACCCACCCTTGTTTTACGTTATTACGCATCTGACATTTGGTCCATGTTGCAGTCCAGCAGCAAGTACGTCCCCGTGGATCTGGTGGAAATGTCTGATTTCGTAGACGCCTTTTCCATTTTGAAATTGGCTGAAAGAGATGACAGCGGTCAGGTTCGGGTAAAGATCCAAAATGTTCAGGTTGATACCGGGTTCCAGTACTTTTGCTTGGTCTTTCCTGTTCCTGACGACCGACCTTTTGCATTGGCTCATGCCATAGTGGATGGCCGAGTCCAAAATCCATTCAAAAAGGTTGGTATCAGGCGGGCATATGTGTATTATATGGCCAGCGTGATGATGGATGGCCGAGGTAAGGAGGCTACTGACTTTCATCAATTACTCCAGCGGGCCATTTTTGATACTTTTCGTATCATCCCATAGATTGGAGCTGATGGTAAATTTGTTGTAGTGAAAGGCAAGCTGCTCTTCGCCCTTATTCTTTCAGGTTGTCTGGAATAGTTTTTTTTATAATAAACAATCTCTTTTCCTTTTATAAATAATAAAGAAGAAACATTCCTTTTTTTAAATGATACTCAGGTGAGTATTTAATAAAGTCTTAAAAAAAATCTTTTCTTTTTCTTTTCATAAACCTACAGCCCACTACACATTACTACGGATAGCTGGCTGTTTAAGCTGTAAAGCAGCTCGTTAGAACTGCTGATTTATAAATACATTGAATCATTTCAGCGATGCATCAGTTACGACCCAAATAAACAGACATACAGACTTTACGACTTGTTGCTTGAAAATAAAAAAAAAGGTACATCATCACGCTGTATTGGACAAGTGACGAGTCTTTAAACACTGGGTTATAAGACTAGTTCTTTTACATTGTTGTTGTTATGATCGTGTCACGTAGATGCATTAATTTTGGTATTTCTTTGTCGGCACCTTGTCATCTACGTGTCAGCCATCAATCATCAAGTCTGTCATAAATAAGTAATGACTTATTAAACTTTGTCATTGCTTATTTTTATGCTAAATAATCATACACTATTTTCATAAATTATTTGGACACTCTTGGAAAAAAATTGCTCACTTTTTTCAATCTCAGCACACTTTTGTATTTTTTTTTGCTCACTTCCAGGAATTTTTTTTGCACAGTGTGTACGAATTATTTTAGAGTGGATTTTCATTTTAACAAGTTTCGAACTTGGACTCACAATACCGGCAAATACCTTTGAAGTCGCTTATCACGACATTTTCGCATGCTTCAGTGATTCTGATGTTCAAAGTTTCGGCCTCCAACAGTTTTTCATGTTTCAATCTACTCTTAACAACAGACCATTACAGCTCAATATGGTTTAATTCAGGGCAATAAGGTGGTAGATACACACACCCATACCCACAATTTTCGAAAAAAACTTTTAATATTATCTGAGGTATGTACGGGCGCATTATCCAGGATAATGTAATGCCCTTTGAATTCCTCATGACTATCCATCACATCGATAGTGCTGGCAATAAAATTGAAGTAATGTCTCGTAACAGTACCAATACTTTTCTGCATTTTACTTCCAACCGTCTTTCGTTTCTTAGAAGCTGCAGAATAGGGTACCCTTATCCTAACATTGACAATGCCATACGGGGATATAGCACCGGATATTATCGAAGTCTTCGCTCGTGTCAGTGATGGATAATTTCAACTCGAGTGTCTTTTTTGGACCAGGCAATTGTTCGCTTCAAATTGATGTGAAAGGCGGACTCGTCGATGAAAACACAATTAATATTGTAATTCATGTCGGTTTAAATCCATCTTGCAACCCAGTCAAATCTTTTCTCAATGCTTACGGGCGAGTTTCTTTGTTTTAAATGAAATTGTGCTTTTTTAAATGACAAGGCACACTTCTCTGCCATGAAGTTCTAAACAGTTGTTTTGGTTAATTTCAATTCACTGGACTGGCTGGTAAGACTTTCTATTGCACGATCCAAAGTTGCAAAAGGGTGATCGATAAACGTTTCTTTCAAATGCTTTTTATGGTCTTCATTCAATAAACCAGGTCTAACAACGTTCGTTTCGGTTTTTTTAGTCTCGAATCCATCCTGCGTTTCAACAATCAAATATTGGTTTTTTTCAACCAGTCCTAGGCGCTTCTACGGCCAGTATCTAGCTGCTTTCCTTCTTTACCTGTAGTAAGGTCTTCTCCATAAACAACATAGAAAAAAATGTCCGTTGACATCATCTCCATGTTTCTTATAATAAGAAACTGGTCCTGATAAAGCAGTAGAAACCATCTTATTGGTTTTAATTGAGGCTTCGGGCTTTTTGGGTGGTTTAAATTCCATGTAGCTATCGAAGGTAACAGTGTCAACGAGTGGGTAACCGTCCACGTCTACTTCCATTTCAACCGGATCATTTCCATGTTCATCTATAGCGTTTCCGTGTCCCTCTTCCATAAAAATACGAAGGTTCATTGGTTATATCTTTGTTTTCGAAATTTGTGCGAAATGTAAAAGTTAAAGTGGGAAATTTGTTTTTCAAAAGTGAGCAAAAAATAATTTGTGAACTGAGCAAAAAAAAATAAAAAAGTCTGCGGAAATTGAAAAAAAAGTGAGTGATTTTTTTCTTAGAGTGTGCGAATCATCTATGAAAATAATGTATCAATTACGGGGAACATTGATCAGATTTGAGGGATTTTTTTGCTGGCGACCGGTATAGTGAATGTTCGTTTTCTAATTGTCGACCGGTCGGTTGATTGGTCGTCATTTAAATCTTGACCGGCAGGTGGGCTGGTCGTTATTTAGTTTTCGACCGGCAGGTTGGCTGGTCGTTATTTAGTTTTCGACCGGCAGGTTGGCTGGTCGTTATTTAGTTTTCGACCGGCAGGTTGGCTGGTCGTTATTTAGTTTTCGACCGGCAGGTTGACCGGTCGCTGCATAATTGCCGAAACATAAGTGAAGTGCTCGTTATTTCGAAGTTATATTGGACTTTTACAACATAAGCGATAGCTGAAAAAGTTTTATCGTATACAAGACTTACTAGTAATATGAGATTAGTATTTCAGCTCGAAGAAAAAAGGAGTTTCCATTTTTTTCGCATACAATTTTGGACACGAACTGAATATCATCATGCCCTGATTGTTTTCATTACTCATTGAATTAAACCTCACAAAAAACTTCCGGATCATACCTCACTTACAAACTCTTGCGATACAGATTTTGTCGCACTGGCAAAAAATATGATGTTAAGCCAGGTTCTTATTTAAATCTTCCGTGCCACGTAAAAAAAAAAAAAAAAAAAAAAAAAAAAAAAAAAAAAAAAAAAAAAAAAAAAAAAAAAAAAAAAAAAAAAACTGCGTTGTTTTATAAAAAGAGAGTATGGGGAATTACTAAAAAAACTATTATTTTCCTAATTCTCTTCATCGTCAATATGAACGTCACGAGTCGCCCGTTCATCCTCGTTATAATCATTATCTTAACTCTCCGAACTCATTATCTTTCCCATCTTCTCAGTCTATAGGCCAGCTATCTAATTAAATGAAACGCTTAGCGAAACCAAATAACTGTACTTTCGCTGGGGTTTTTTTATTTGGAACAAACTTTCCCAAAAAGCCAATTATGGATAGAAACGTATGTGATAAATGAGAAATAAAAAGGGAAAAGTAATTGGGAAAATAAAGCAAGTAAAGAAATGAGACTCTATAATCCTTTATTATAAGTTGGAGAGTTTGTCATGATAAAAATAGAGGTCCTTTTTATATTCAATTATTACTTCAATATTTTTCTTGCGCAGATCGAATTAACTATTTACCCGCAAACTGGGAAATGATAGAATTAGATTTAGAGATCAGTTACATTTGAAACATAGCTTATTGTTATATACAAGGAGCAAGTTGACCCATATCCGGCACTTCTAGACCATTATAGTTTATCCATTCAATGACAGGGACCTTGATTGGATTACTAAAATAAATTTATGAGAAGCTAGAAGATTCGGCAACCACTCGACCAATCAAGGAACGATTATGAAATCTGATCTCAGTTTGACATATGAGGGAGCTGGTACTGTGTCGTTCCAATAGGAATGTATTCGCAATATGGTACTTATAATACATAGGTTATATGTAATATAATTGAGTGACAAGATAAAAGTAATTATGTTCGTGGAATTAGGCGTCAAATACGACAACGTAGGGCGCTACAAACGGTCTTTCCGCCACAGGTAGTAGCAAAAATAGCCCTAACTTACAAGATTGAGATTACGGCTTTTTTCGTAAATTGCCTTGTTTTAAAATATTACAGAGACCATGGTGGCAATGGAATGATAAAGTCGGATTTTAAAATTAGTAGTTCTGTTTAAGACACTAAGTGCCCAGACACAAAACCTTGTGATTGAATCAGAGCATTTGAATACCTGGAGCAACTACCTCAGGTCTTTGTTAAACTTTACAAAAACCAACTGTGTAATTCACCGAAACAAGCAGCTGTTTTGCTAACGTCAGAGACAAAACGTTTGTAAACAAGCCGTTGCTTCCTATTAACATTTGTATAATGGATTCAAAGATGGAGCCAATTACGTGTCTGAAATGTTTAGCCTGTGCCAAAAGTACCTTATTTTTTTCAAAACAATTAGGTTCGTGTTGTCGTATTTGGGTACGATTCGCTTAAGAATAACTAAGCAAATCGTTTAAATAAATAAACTATAAAATTAAAACAACCTTTGATGTTGCATATCAGCATACGCTTGTATACTGCTATACAACTTCTCCTACTACGAGTACATACTTCAATATTAAAGATTGCATGATTGGCCAAAATACGATATACGAATGACAGTTGGATACAGAATGCTATACCACTGAGTTACGATATTACCGATCGAGAAGAGAAACTTCTCAGATCAATCAAGAATTATAAGAAAGAGACACTTAATATTAATAGTTCTCTCAATGGATTAGCTACCCAGAGAGAGAATAGAGCAGCTATTAATATAAATGGTTCATTTACTTATATATTGATATAATTATGCTGCTGATAAAGAGTATAAAGGAATGGTGTATGAATTAATAGATACCTAGCTTCTACAACCAAATATACAAATATTGATAAGACATTTTATATTTGGGATCGTAATTTATTCAATACAAAGATAATGAATAAATGATCAACTATTATGTTCTATTGCCAATTACACTTGACAAACAAGTATGCATCTTTTACAATAACCGTTGCATGATCTGATAAATAAGTGTCTCGTAATACTAAAGATTTATTAGAATACTCATGCTCCCGATCCACTGATATGGGACAACGTTATCTGGAAACAATTCTAACGAGTAGTATCCATTTAACTCAAGGCGGTGTTGCAGCCAATATGTCATGATCCTGTTACATTCTATGCCCCAAATATGCAATATGAGTAACCAGCTTTCAGACTCAATATTCATCATTGATCTGTCAGCTCTTTAAATCCTTTGTCATGATTCACATAAGCTATGACTAACTTTTGTCATTGCTTATTCTTTTATTTAATTTCTTGTTTTCCTTTCTCTATAAATATCACCTCACCCTTCCAGTGCAAAATAAAAAAAATCATTTTGACCTCCGAGCCCACCAAAATTTGACCCTCATATTTTTTTTTACAGCCAAAACCACTAAAACCACAAGAAAACCACAAAAAAATTGGTAAACCACAAAAAAAAAATTTTAAAAAAAAAATCTTAATTGCGAGTGACTTTTGATTTTGGTTTCGCTGCTGTTTCACTTTAATAAAATTAACTTATAAACTAAAATGGGCCTTAGCAAAAGTAAAAAAAGAAAAATAGAAGAAGCTAATATTCGGGAAAAATGGTTATGTGCCGCTATGGAGGAGAAGGAGCGTAGAGAAGAGGAATTAAGAAGATTTCGGCCCCTACGCATTCCTGTCCATAATAGAAGCTCCCTCAATGATATTGCACCCGAGATTGCTGCACCCGAGACTACTGCACCCGAGATTACCAGCGATGTCATTGCCACTACCACTGATGAAAATAACAATGATCCCGATTTCCCTGACGATTTCAATGTGGAGATGTTAGTTCCTGGGGCTGAATATCATGATTGTGGAGATTATCAGGATGACGAGTGTGAGGTACGAATTCCTACAGAACATCAGCCGGTGGTACCTGTCATTGATTCCGAGATCGAATCCATCACCACCCAACCAGTTACCACCAAAACTGTCCCAAGAAAAAAGACAGCTTACAGACTTAAGCTGGAAAAATGTCAAATGCGTTGGCAAACTCTTATGAAGGCCTTGCCAGCATCTTACCTGTCTTACTTAGGTGAAAAAGGCAGCATGCCTGATATGATGGATGTCACTCCTGGCCCAAGAATGTCATGTGAGTGCTCTTCGGCCTACCTGGAAATTGTAGAAGTCGATTTATACTTCGTATCTGGTAAAGTAAAGTATTTATTTGCATTTCCTCTATATTTATCCAAAGTTTATTTAAAGGTGTGCAAAAGAAACAAAAGTTTCCATACTGCATCAGTTGTCAGTCATTGCCTGTTGCTTTGGTGAAATCAGGCATGTTCCCTCTTTCGCCCTTCAAACCGAAAGGGGCTCTGCATTTTAGTCTCTGCAATATGTTTATTGAACTGAGAAACATCTTCGCTGGTTCTGGTGAGAAGATTGCAGAGTTCTATGGTCGCTGGGCTGCAGGAACCGAGAAGGTATCATTTTGTAAATAATTATTATCGTTTTATTAACTAAATCCATGTAGACCAACCTCTCGGGCGAATCATGCTCCAACGTCATCTTGATGTACAACAAGATGGTAGAGCTGTCTGAACAACTGGTGATGGAAGACGTTTCCACCTCATGTCCTGCTTGTCCTGAGGTTTGCAAAAAAAAAAAAAAAAAAAAATCACTACGTATTATTAACCATTTGAATATTTTATACACCAGGTGAATTCTAATGATGTTAAGGACAAGCAGTTTATGATGATGGATGGTAACTTCCGTTTAAAATGCAGGAAATCGTGGGCTGATCACGATGATGTGCCAAAGATCACTGGTCTTGATGGATTCAAGAAATTTTGGATGGATCGAGATTTGATCAAAAAATACGATAAGTCTGAACAGGTAATTAATAGTTATGGGATATTGTGATATAATGCATTAAAGTACATTTTTTGTTTTAAGAATACCGCCACCACCACCACCAACACCACCACCAACAACAACACAACAACAACAACAACAACAACAACAACAACAACAACAACAACAACAACAACAACAACAACAACAACAACAACAACAACAACAACAACAACAACACAACAACAACAACAACAACAACAACAACAACAACAACAACAACAACAACACAACAACAACACAACAACAACAACAACAACAACAACAACAACAACAACAACAACAACAACAACAACACAACAACAACAACAACAACAACAACAACAACAACAACAACAACAACAACAACAACAACAACAACAACAACAACAACAACAACAACAACAACAACAACAACAACAACAACAACAACAACAACAGCACCGACACCGACACCGACATCAGCACCGCCGATGGTATATCTACCAAAAAGA